ACTTCCACGTAAGATCTTATAGATTAGGCAGTTATATCATGACAAATCTACAATTTTAGGATTAGGTCTATTATTAGAGCAGTACTAATATCATAGGGCTCACCAATTTCGTGCCTTGAAGTAACCCTCGTGCTTTTGATAGAAGAAACCAGACAAGTAGTGAATAGGTCTTTATTTCGATCTAAGCGCGGTGACAGTGGAGCATGGGACTATCTGTTCAGACAAACAAAGGCTCTCAACAGTCAATATAAGATGATAGGGAATATAACGCTTATACAAAACAAGGAAGTGAATGAATACTTGAACAATACTGTTTTGGCATATGCTTGGTTGTTTGGGGTCAACTCTGAACCAACCAACCTAAGCTGTTACATTAGCTTCCCCCTAGAATCGACTTCCTTAGGAACGTCGGTTCGATTAACCTAACTATCGAAAACGCCTTAGTTCTATTTCTCACCCCAAGGGAAAATTATCAACTCGCTCACTGTTTGATTTACAATCAGTGACGACTGACGCTGTCAACGATAGTCCATGAATGTCTCTTCATTTACTAGCTTGTCATTTTATTTCGTAGCATGTGATTTCTTCTACAACTATCGCCGATGGTTTGCTGGGTGCTTTCAAGAGAAAGTTTGAGAATGTGGAATAAGAATATCTGAGGAAGTGCCGCGAGCGGGCTACCCAACACTGTTTGGATGCACAAGATCCTGAAACCTCATTATCTCATTTAGCGCGTATAGCCGACAGAATAATGGAAAGAGGTTCTCCAACTGGATCAGGCACAATAAATCACACACAAAAAGTAGAATCAGCAAAAGACCCCGTCATAGAAGGACTCATTGCGAGTGTTAAGAGTCTCACTGAGGCTGTCACCAGAATGCAAATGGGTCATAGAACAATGGAGAAGGCTCAGAGAATGAATTGAATGGATTGAGTTGATCGAGTGGCATGGCTCGGCCATGCAGGCGTGGTCCCTGCTGGATGTTATCTTATATCTCCTATTCATATTAAATATATTGTTCTTTCTCTAGCCTAACCTTGTTCTACATCATGTATTGGTAATTGATACCATACAGTGAATTGGTGTAGTCGATGGTGTGACTTCCACGTAAGATCTTATAGATTAGGCAGTTATATCATGACAAATCTACAATTTTAGGATTAGGTCTATTATTAGAGCAGTACTAATATCATAGGCTCACCAATTTCGTGCCTTGAAGTAACCCTCGTGCTTTTGATAGAAGAAACCAGACAAGTAGTGAATAGGTCTTTATTTCGATCTAAGCGCGGTGACAGTGGAGCATGGGACTATCTGTTCAGACAAACAAAGGCTCTCAACAGTCAATATAAGATGATAGGGAATATAACGCTTATACAAAACAAGGAAGTGAATGAATACTTGAACAATACTGTTTTGGCATATGCTTGGTTGTTTGGGGTCAACTCTGAACCAACCAACCTAAGCTGTTACATTAGCTTCCCCCTAGAATCGACTTCCTTAGGAACGTCGGTTCGATTAACCTAACTATCGAAAACGCCTTAGTTCTATTTCTCACCCCAAGGGAAAATTATCAACTCGCTCACTGTTTGATTTACAATCAGTGACGACTGACGCTGTCAACGATAGTCCATGAATGTCTCTTCATTTACTAGCTTGTCATTTTATTTCGTAGCATGTGATTTCTTCTACAACTATCGCCGATGGTTTGCTGGGTGCTTTCAAGAGAAAGTTTGAGAATGTGGAATAAGAATATCTGAGGAAGTGCCGCGAGCGGGCTACCCAACACTGTTTGGATGCACAAGATCCTGAAACCTCATTATCTCATTTAGCGCGTATAGCCGACAGAATAATGGAAAGAGGTTCTCCAACTGGATCAGGCACAATAAATCACACACAAAAAGTAGAATCAGCAAAAGACCCCGTCATAGAAGGACTCATTGCGAGTGTTAAGAGTCTCACTGAGGCTGTCACCAGAATGCAAATGGGTCATAGAACAATGGAGAAGGCTCAGAGAATGAATTGAATGGATTGAGTTGATCGAGTGGCATGGCTCGGCCATGCAGGCGTGGTCCCTGCTGGATGTTATCTTATATCTCCTATTCATATTAAATATATTGTTCTTTCTCTAGCCTAACCTTGTTCTACATCATGTATTGGTAATTGATACCATACAGTGAATTGGTGTAGTCGATGGTGTGACTTCCACGTAAGATCTTATAGATTAGGCAGTTATATCATGACAAATCTACAATTTTAGGATTAGGTCTATTATTAGAGCAGTACTAATATCATAGGGCTCACCAATTTCGTGCCTTGAAGTAACCCTCGTGCTTTTGATAGAAGAAACCAGACAAGTAGTGAATAGGTCTTTATTTCGATCTAAGCGCGGTGACAGTGGAGCATGGGACTATCTGTTCAGACAAACAAAGGCTCTCAACAGTCAATATAAGATGATAGGGAATATAACGCTTATACAAAACAAGGAAGTGAATGAATACTTGAACAATACTGTTTTGGCATATGCTTGGTTGTTTGGGGTCAACTCTGAACCAACCAACCTAAGCTGTTACAGATGTTCTCTATGGCAGATTATTTCGCGGTTTCATAATAATCGTCAGACCTCGGAATATTCTCTGAAATGGTTTAATCAACGTGTGTTTCCAAAGAAGCTCTCTGTCATTTCATACTATCCTGTTAAAACTAGTGGCTTCAAGTATCCATTACTACAAGACTCAGAAGTAAGTTGGGTTTAACCTTTTTATGTGGTCCTCGCCAACTCATAATCTCATTTGATCCGAAATTTCTTACTGACTTGATCATTGAGATCATTATCAGCGAATGTTCATGGTCATGAAAATCTATCGCCGTATCATTCAGCTTCTTTCCGGTTGACAAGCTCTGCCACCGGACCAAAGAACTAGACAGGGAGCATAGATGTCTGACGACAGAATAAATGAATCTGATTTTCAGTATGGGTGTTGTGGAGATTGTTAAGTTTTTAGTTGAGATCATGAATTAATTGATGTTAGACCACCGTTGGAAACCTGGAAGCACTGGACGGTCGTTTCGTCCTAGTATGGGACTCCTCAGCAGTGCGCATCCACGATCCCGCACCCCGCGGGATTCGAACCCAAGCCCTACTGGCTTCGTGCCTAAGCACTTAACCATTAGACCACTGAGCGGGCATCCAATGGTGTTAGTGCCTAACATCAACCAATCCACGAAATTGCGCGACAACCTTCCATTGTACTGAGGTAGATACCTGTCTCCACCCGACACGGATTAGCTCCACTGGTCACGACTTCTCACTAGAACTCTGAGAATTCCCTTACGAAGCTAGTCACTAGTGAGCACATGTTAATTATCAGTATTGATTTACCGCAATCAAAAAAATAGTGCAAGCCAATAACTGTTTAAAGATTTAGAACCCTGAAGTTTGCACTTAGAGCTCCTGATCACGTAGCTGCTACTGTTCAAAGAACCGCGTCTAATTCATTCCAAGAATAGTTAAGCTGCTGTAGGACAAGAAGTCGTGTAAAATATCCACATTTTCCTTGTTCTTGGATTTTGGATGGTCACCAAATCATCAGATTCAGATTTGCGTACTGAGGAGAGAAGGCTTATGACCTAAATTAGTCCCGTTCTTGTAAGCTCCTGAGGATGTCAAGTCTTCTCTTTTATAAGTCACTTGAAAACGCTGATACCTCATTTTCGTGTAACAGGTACCAAGAACTTATAAATCGGTGTGAGAACCTTTGTGCTACAGGTATTTATCCCGTATTTTTCTTTTCTACTAGTCAGCTATACCCTCCGATTTGTCCGACTCAGGTATGACTCTATACAACCAAATCAGATCATTTGTTAGTTTGTGGTAGGACAGAGTAAAGAGGCCTAGCTTTTCTAACCGCTCTTTTTATGGTAAACCGAAAAACTCTGGAATCGCACTACTAACTGCTCTCTGCGCTTTATCAAGGATACCATAGTGACCTTTTAAACAGTGTTTGCAGTCTGAACACATTCCTGTAGTTTGGATCGCGCTAAGGTTGTGCACACTGCAGTGAACAAGTTAATGCCTGGCTTGGTAAATGTCTGTCGTAAAGCTCACAGATTTATAGGCCTCTAAGTTGCGAACTAGTGGCAGTAGTCCACAATCTACAGATCCTGTTTCACTGTCCTCAAGATACTTGTGAGACCATATCACGAGCACTAACGCTTCACTTAAGTTGTACGTGTTTACGTTCGTATCTCGCAATGTGCATGTAGAAGCACTTGACCATGTTGATAGGAATCAGCCATTCTTTGGATTAGGTAATCAGGACATTTAAGACAGCCTGAAATACATGTGCATTTGCGTCATCTGTTATTTATCGTAAGAATTTTACATCATCAGCATATAGTAGCATCGGAAAACCAACTACTCTTGAGAGTTCATCCTTATATAGTAAAAAATGTAGCGGACCGAGGAAACAGCTTTGAGGCGCTACACTAAGTATTGGTTTCCAGGGCCAACATTTGGAATTCATTCCTACTTTCTGTTCATGACCTACCAAGAAATATTCTATCTTTTAAAGGAGACATATAAGAATTCCTAGATACTCCAACCCTAGAGTGATCTACTTTTGATACCTTAACAAATCAAAGTGTGGCGACACGCAGATCCACGTAAGAAATATTTCTGTAATTCTTCAACATTCATGCTGACCTCAATAGTTCTTCAGGGCACACCTAGCTGAAGTCGTCCGATCACGGATTCGTACCAGATTACGAGTTGCTAATCTGTGATAGGTATCCATTGCACCTGATAGCCAGTCTAGATCAAGCGCATCTCGACATCTCGACATATCAAAATCCGAATAGCTATGGCATTTTTGAACGGATGAAACTCCTCGCTTCAACTCACTGAAGAAGTTCCACCTTTCAACATGTTGTATATAAAGTTAAACAATTTGAGTAATCCTTTTCTGTAAAACATATATATATCACTCAGCCTTTCGTTCACATAAAACTGAAACCGATACTGATATTGGAACATTGCATCAGGAAATTATCCGTTCACATTATAAATCGAAGGTCAAGTAAGCGTGATCAGTGGTCACGACAGCCAATGAACTGGCATGGATTCCTGCCATCTGCGAGTGCCGGTCGCGGCGCCGTCTGCATCGCGCTATCCATGACTTTTTTCAGTGCGTTAGACCATGTTTTACGAGGAGTAAACCCCCCTAAGACTGTAGTTTGCAAAGGTTCACTCGCTATATGGAAGTGGCGCAATATGATGATTTCTTGGTTACATGCCGTTTTAATTGGAACATGGGATTTATTATGGTTGGTCAAAATCATGTGGTTTAATTTTCCCTAGCTTTTACTATTATCCTGAGTTGATGAATGATCCAGTAGACCATATCGTGCCTTTTACATATTACTTAGTGGCCGTTTCTACTGGTACTGTACAACCTTAAAATTTAACGTTACCTAGGTTACTTTCTTTATGATTTCTGGGATATGTTCACGCAGAGGCAATTATTCAAAATGTGGGAATTAACTTTGCATCACATTGCAGTAAGTAATGCAATGTATTTAAAGTAATATATTTTCCAAGGTGCTGATTTCTACTAAATCTGGTTCAGATTTTTACAAGTCGCAACTCTTTTTGCTTGGCTTAGGTATAAGAGCTGGAAGCTTTCGATTATACGAGATTATCAATCATATATATGAGCCGTTTCTAATCGTTCAATCGATAGTATTAAAATAATCGTTTTTTTTGTCTAAAACGCAGTTTTCCAGAAGCTATTTCAGTATGAGTAGATTCCAGGAACTTTGGAAAATAGTAGAGATTCTTGGTACGACGATATTTGTTTGGTCTTTCCGTGTGTAACTTCATAGCTCAGTGGCTAAAGAACTGTGTTTCTAAATAATAAGTGCCCAGTTTAGGTTCAAACTTTCGTCTTGTGTGGCCGTCTGTTTTCATGAACCAACACAGATTGTGACCATGGAATTTTAAAAACATATTTAGTGAACTAATCACGTTATAACACCACTGGGATGTTTCTTGAAGTAGGAATACTTTTTTCCTCTGGATTGCCAATGGCTTCTATTCTGAGCCATGTGGGATGACGTGTCAAGTCACTTTGTTGTACTGTCCCTAGGGTCCCAGCCAGGGAGTTGTGGAGAACCAGTCCTCCAACGGAAATGTCATTTCATGATACTGGTGATCATGATATGTCGGCGTCCTCCATTTCAGCATTTAATAAGTTCATTATATTGGAAATCAACTCTCCTCTCTATCTACTAGATTTGTTTTTATTCCTATTATCGTTCTCTCATCATTCATGCCTCTCTCACCGAAAATCAGTGTAATTAATTTGTGATTGCCAATGGTTTCCTGAATCTACGTTTCAGACTAGATCCTCCATTTCTGAATATACGAATTTCTGTCAAATCAGGTGATGCTCTTTATTAAACATGGGCGCGTGCCGAGTTTTTACGAACTTCATATATTGTCCGTTTGTGGCTGTTCAACGCGGTATGATTGCATGACTTCATTGGATATCCAAAATGAACTTACTATTTTCATGAAAGTATTTGGCCAATACCATCACATTCCAACTGACCTGTCTACCACTGTAGGATCTCAAAAAGGTTAAAATACGTGCTATTGCTTACATGCTGCTTTTCTTGGACTTACACAGTAAAATCATAAGAACCATCAATGGAAGTTATCTAACCCTAAAACAATCGAAACTAACGTGTAGTCGTTGTATCACATTTGTCATACTAACTATGCAACGAATACTACTCATCTGATACTATCGAGAAATGACTTTTATATTAAAACCGCATAATCCATTTTAAAATCATTTTTTCCTGTAAATCTCAAATAACAGCATAAAAGTGACAGGTTCAATATGAGATAATCAGAACTACCAGTCGCTGTAAAGTAATAAATCTATCGTCTTGTTATCCTAAGGCATTGGGGTGCTAAAAAAAGGAATTCGACAAGAACGCAATTTCCATTAGCTAGTGCTCAGGTATGTCGGCTCAGAAGCTTATAGCTATGGCCTTTGATGTATGTATCATATATGGAGTCAGCATGAAACGTTCCATTCTGTGCTGTAGAACCTACGATGTTATCTGACCAGAAACATTTCAAAACAGAAATACTATTTAGTGAAAATCATCGCTTCCCATTTTGGGGCTGCGTAATTTTTTGAATTGAAATTTAATGTATTAGTTACCTCACAAATAGAAACTAATAAAGTAATCTGAAAGCGTGCAATTAAAAGTAAAACTGCAATTTGGTTCATATTTATAGGGAAATAAGAAATAATACTACAACTTTTACATTGATTTTCGATAAAACCACGACATTTTTAACTAAGAAATTCTAATAATCTGACATTCTTGTTAACAGTACAGAATAATAATCAGTACTCTTAGGCATCAAAATTGGTTTCTTTCGATTTTTTTTAGCGAAAGTAGTAGTACACATACCGTTATACGTTCATAAACAGTTATTTCAAACTCGTGAATTTGTTATTACACACTTGTTTTATAGGTTCTGAGTGCCTTTATTTATAATGTACTGTCAGTTCGGTACATAGCGTATACAGTTATCGCCTTACTTGCTGAAGTCAATAGCATATTTCTTCACACCCGTAAATTGATGCAAATGCACAAAGTTCCTTCAGTGAATATGTCTTATCGGTTCAATGCTGTCCTGAACCTAACTACATTCGCAGGTTGTCGAGGATTTGCACTGCTTCGTATTTCATACGGCATGTATATGGACCCCGAAAAAATGACACCGTTTTATACTGTATTGTTGGGGACAAGTATGTTCATCATGAATCTGCTGAACCCAGTTCTATTTTACATACTTCTACGTAACGATTTTCTACTTCCGCCCAGAGATGAAGATCTTTATATCAAAAAGGGGATGAAAGTAAATTGTCCCCCCTCGGAAAGCAAAATATCCAATGGTTATAGCTTATCATTAGAAATAAATGGCTTTCCCTGCGATGGAATTCATAAGCGAAATCTGTGAAAACTTTGAATGGGTTCTGTGAAATTGATCTATCTGTTTATTAAAATACGCTTATTAATCGTTTGTTCTAAGTTAGATCTTTTATTTGTAATCCCTCGGCATATTAGCTTACCTATATACGGTTTATCCTTTGACTTTTTCATTGACATATTTACTAATATCAATTTTTTAATGATGTTCAGTGTTAGTATACTTTTTGCTGATTGTTTATCTGTAAACTCTCGTTGGCTTTTACGAAATTACAATAGTGTATGTCTCGATTCGTAAGAATAGATTTACCAACTGAAGTTTCATTCCCAGTGAACCGTTTCACACTGTCCCGTGTAAATGCTTATTTCTTTCTCTTTGCTACAAAACTGTTTCACTTTTTCTGATTATATAAATATAAGTTTCTGTATACTTCACTCCCGCACTCTGTATTCTTAGGCATATTATTTGTTTTTAAATACTTGTTTATCATTATGACAATGTGTTTAAACTTGTAATATTTTTCTTATGATTATATTCTGTAAAATATTTTCGATTATGTTAAAGTCATGTTTCTACATAAAAAATTCTCGGTGTATACTTCACTGCTTATCATCTTTATTATACCAGTGGACTATTTGTTGTTACCATCTTTGTCAGTAGTCATTTACTAATGTTTACGACAAAGAAAACAAAGCTCCAGTCCCCTCGTCTTTGCTTTTATGTGTTCTGTCTACATTAAAAGAGTTGTATACACAGTTTGAAATGTCTACTTCTTAATCCCTTCATTATTGTACTAATGTATTTGGATTATTTCTTATTTTTGATTCACTAGAGGAAAAAGTCTATTCATCTAAAAGTTTCCGTTTTCGTGTTAATTATTTTGTTCAGACATGTAATTAAATAGAATTATAAAGTTATACTCTTTGAAAAAAGAAATTATCGAAGTTCCATGAATTATGTCTGTCTGTCTGTCAGAGACTGATTATGCAAAGTATGACTCCGCTGTCGTACTTTCTAATTGTGAAACATGACATTTACAGGTTTACAAAATACGTAGTTTTTTATGCAAGTAGGTAATGCTCATTTTTGTTGTAAAGTAATAAATAAAAATAGTAAATCTGCTGGTAAGTTTTTGCATTTTTACTGACTGCTGTGGCTATGATGTTCATTACTCGTACCAGTTTACCACCAGCTCTAACAAGCAATGTTTGTTATTGTAAAAGCTAAGATATATTATTATGTTAATTTAATAAATATCTAATTCATTCCTGTCAGTGTATGTGAGTTTCATGGTTCTGTTTTGCGTGATCGTTGAAGACTAAGAATAACACGACACAATGTCCGGTCTCAATTAAGTGAATATGTCCAATTTTATATTCCTCGGAACATGGGACTTCCATGTGATTTTCTAGCGTACGTATGTGCTTAAATGGTGACTTTTATGATATTCTCATACTTGAGAACTACTGATGTCGACTAGTGCAACAAAAAATTCTCACTGGAGTATAAAAATTCATTTCAAACTGAAATTAACCTGTCTAAACTTCATCGACAAGCTGGATGTCTAGTAAATATATATGACCTATTAGCTCCAGCACTGTATAATTGTGAGGCTCAATTTTTGACATATGGAATTTCATTCTTTAAATACAGCAGCTCACTCAAGTACTCATCTATATTTCTTATACAATTTCTAAGGTCGATAAATGTGTTTATTTAGCTAATCTTGTAGGGTAAAAACCAGTGAAAATTTATTTGTCTCAATAATAACTCGTGAATCAGCACTCAAGAAATCATTAACCGCTATAAAAAGTGAATATCAGGGTATTGAAAACATGGAAGTAAGATGTTACGTGCGGTGTCTGAGAGTTGATTCCGATACTCAATTTTTCTATAAATGAGCCCGTCTGACTGCTCTAGTGAAAGACGGTGAGGGAATTTATTGACCTAGCTGAGTCGAATCGTACATATATTCAATCCTATATATATTTGTATTCCCTTAGAAAGTTAAATCATCATTGGTGTATATCATGTCTCTTATAAATGAAAGCCATTTCTTGGCCAGTTACATGTACTGACCATTTGCCTGATTACTAATTAACCCAGTGTAACTTAACCAGTAGATATTATACCATGATGAAAATAAAATGAAGTTAGCGTCCGTAAAGAAAATGCGGGATAAATAATTATTCCAAACATCATTGAGTTCTTACGGAGCTAAATTATAATATGAGGAGCAGGCATATTATTTGAACTTTTCGTTTAGTAGTTTTGACTAACATTGGACATTTTTAGTACTTCCACGGGAAAAGCTACTATAATTTTCAACAAATATGCTGTCTTTTAATTGTAGTGAAAATTTGTCGTTTTTTAGGTACGAATTATTACACCCCATCTTTCGGTGCCAGTAAGAGTAATTGATCATGCTTTTGTAGACAAATGAGATTTATCCCTGATTTATACACAAGATATTTGATTGATGTTTTGAAGTGATTTTTATGAAGTGGACAGATATTTATTATCAGATGGTTGTGGATAGTTGCTTTGTTCAAACACAGAATACTCTTTATGTGAAATGGATTCAGTGCTTTCATACACTAAAGTAAGGATGGTACATGTTACGAACAATCAACATTATCTACAACAGCATATACATAAAGAGGTAGTTAATTCCATAGCATATGGGTTTTTATCCTGTAATACATGAGTTCTTTTTATTCCTTCAAAACTATGAATCCAGTTCAATAAACAAGTAATTATTCATGAAATATATTGAATAGGTATGTATTTAGGAAGTTCCTGTATCTTCAACATAAAGAATTTATATACAGTAACGTGAACTTCCAAAGAAAGTGTTTCATATTCACAAGTAAGTAAATAAAAAAAATGGGGCTCTGGTAATTTACATCAGGTTATGCAGAAATAAGAGAAACACAAACCAACGAAATTCTTATTACGGAAGTAAAATTTTGATACTCACAAAGCATCCTGTTATTTTTAACAACGGATCTATTTGAACAGCACAAGTTTTCTATATGTTAGGGGAACAAATAAAGTGTAATTTAAACTCGACTGTAATTTAGTTTGCTGACAAAATGAGTAGAGCTTTAACGCTGTAAGTTAGGAGTCATTTGTTCAAATATATCTTTTCTTTGAACTTAGAATCAACCTAAACTAGTGTGAGCTGTTCAAAATGTTGTAAAACTGTGTTCAATCAGCTAATGCTTAATCCAAACATTGCATCTCAAACTTGAATCCAATAAAAACTTCCTTGATCCTGACTGACAGTTAACATTGTTAACTATCATAACAATTATGTCTAGTACACAAACTATTTCATTTGTAATTAAATTGTATTGTTTAGTTAGGGAATGTACTTTGAATATATCTAAACACATTAGGGTCATGACCGAATTAATGTTCGTGCAAATCATTTTATAGTTGAACTACTTAGCAACATCTTAAGCATCTGAGGCCATAATTTATAATCGATTATCTAGTTAAATACTCCTGCGCACTCTGAAGTACAGATATTTTTCTAAACATAATACTTAATAGCTTCAGTCATCTATTCTTATCATTTAGTCATACCTAAAGTATTTACTTTACTGAAAGTAACTTATACACGTTTGATAAATTTAGTGATTAATGACCATTAAAATATCGATGTTTCTTTCATAAGAATAGTGCTCTGTTAGCAATCGAGCTTCACCATATCACAAATTGATAATGAAAGCCAGGACGGGGTTCCTCCTAAGTATTCACTCCTGAAAAAACCCATACTAAGACGAGAAATCTGTCCAGTGTTTCTTTGTTCCATGTGTTTAGGTAGCTAGTTTCAAACCATGATGCTAACTGAATATATACATCACTATTATTACTATTCTCATCATTATTATTTCGAAATGCAGCTTATCTGCAAAATTGTTGAATGCCTAATGCTGTGACTGCCTTGGAGATGCTTAGCACTTGATCGATTGATGCTGTTCTATTTGAAACGTTATGAGATTGTATTTGTCAATGATGATGACAGGATTCTCACTGAATAAATTTTATCAGTTAGACAGGATAACTTTTTTAACTTAACTAGTAAAACTGAAGCCTATTATTCATTTATTTGATAATTAACTCATGATCAAACTGGTTGAATATTTTGCGTATAATTGACAACTATAGTTACGTCAAGTAACCAATCGTTCAAGCTTCTGATCTTCATATAGTTGGAGTTTAAAGATCAGTAACGTGAGCAGTTATCTATTCAGTCATCGATCAATTCTGTTAACTGAGTTATAAAACGTCTTAATAATACTTTAAGTAACGGAAAATGTTTTTAGCACGATATTACTTTTTTTAAAAGTCCATTCAATCGTTATATAATCTCATATAATCTTATATTATTTTCTGCAATTCTATGGACAAGTTTTTCCACAAAAAAGTATTTCAGTGGTACTTTGAATCTAATTCATTAAATATGAGGATTTTTCTAAACTTAACATTAATCATAATAAACATGATCTATTAAAACCAATCGCATGTATTAAAAAATTTAAGTTTAATGTTCACATAAAAGTGAAAATATACAATTCAATACTAGTCATTGTAGTATGCGTTAAAAAAAGAAATCAGTAGAAATACAATAATCCGTTAATTTTTCAAATCTCTTTCCTTATATAATTCATGTGATGCTTAAATCAAAACATGCTTGAACTAAAATGTTTTACGTGCAAATAGTTAAATCAATAATCTAAATGATTAAAAGTATCTGATACTAAATGATATCTTGTGACTTGTATACTGAGAAATCTTGGAACATGGTGAAACAATCATTCATTATCTGTCAATTTCATCAGGTTTCATGATTGTTGTCAATGTAGATGGAGAAGAGAATCTTTTCAATAAATATGAATTTAATTTTATTGGTTTCAATGTTTATTTATTTCACAGATACTTACGAATTATTCTTCATGATCTATGTTAATGATAATTATTTCAAGCGAAGAAAAAGAAACTGGACGAATACCTATTCACATTACAGATTAGAATAGGATTATAGTGAACTATTGTATTAAAATAGAATTACAAGAAGTGGAATTTCAAATTGTTATTAAAAACAATCACTTGTTCATATATAAGTGAAAGAACGAAAAACTTTGCAAATTCATAAAAAGGGATTAATGATAGGCTAAAAAGAAATTATTACTCGACTATAGAATTACATTAGATATGTTAAAAAGAGATGAAGAAAGAAATTAGTTTGTTTTAGTTATAGCTCTGTTTATCAAACAAAATGCCAAAAAATAGAATTCTTTAATATTTTCTATTGTTTAAATATTTGACAATTTCTACTATCCTATGTAGTTCTTTAGTATAGATTCTAAATGATGCTTTTTTTAAAATCAAGTTTTGGGTTGCTCCTTGTATTAGCCTCCATATTTGTATTAAAAACCATGAATAAGATTGGGGATGAACCAAAAAGTAGAATTTTGATTGAGATCATGAACCGATTGATGTTAGACCACCGTTGAAATCCTGGAAGCACTGGACGGCCGTTTCACTAACACCATTGAATGCTGGCTCAGTGGTTAAGCGTTCGCGTGCGAGGCTAGAGGCCCTGGGTTCGAATCGCGTGAGTGGGATCACGGATATGCACTGCTGAGGAGTCCCGCAATAGGATGAAACAGCTGTCCAGTGTTTCCAGGTTTCCAACGGTGGTCTCATATCAGTCGGTTCATGATCTCAATCAAAAACTTAATAATCTTCACAAGCCCTATACTGTTAAAAAGTAGATTATTTTTACTGAATTAATGTAACTCAAAAGAATAATTCCCTATGTGTATTTATCCCTTTCTTTTTTTTAATCAATCATTTTCAACATGAGTATTATCAACAAAATAAATAGAAAATTTACAAAACACATTAGATTTTCATTTTTCTCTAAAGTGCATATAGAAAAACCCAGGGTATATATAGAAAAAAAGGTTCTTTTTCATTTATTTCAAATAAATTTATCATTGTTACCTTCAATTTTTACAAATGATTATCTTTATTTTCTTCTTCTCATTACGTAGCTTATTACAAAACACGCAACATGATCTTGTTCCAATAATCATAATCTCTAACAATATAATGAATTGACAAATAATATTTTGATAAGACAAATAAAAGGTGAAAACAAAAAGGGAATTACTTATATTACTAACATGTGATTTATTAATCTTGTAACATTTTATTTGATAAACGATTTCAAATTATTGAAAATAATAATACTATCATT